CTTGGAGAACACGGTGAAATTGATCAAGAATCAACCAATCAGAGGACACGGTGAGCAGATGATAAGATTTAACCAATCACAGCACGACTTGCACTTGACCTGTCGGAACATGTCTCGGTCATGACTGAACGTGTCTCGACCATGTCTCAGAACAGGTTCCCGAGAGTGTAAATCTCCAACGCATTGCTAACATTGATGACGTACTGCAGTCTTGGTAAATTGATAGAGTATGTTGGCAAGATCAGGTGGGAGAGAGGTCACGTGATCTACTAAATAATCCAGACTGTAGTCATGCCAACAATAGGCATCTATTAGAAGATGCATCATGGACAGGTCTGCAGGTGGCATCAAGGACAAATTAACTTTCAGAGTGTTCAGCTGTCTAGCGGACAGAGGACCCTTGATGTGTTCCATGAGATGTAGAAGAAACATCAGTGGAAAACATGATGGAAGAGGTTGTGTAATGCGGCTGCTTCTCAACCATGATACATTACTGCGCGGTAAAGAAGAACGCAGTGTGCGCACTGCATCATGATCCTCATGAAGTATACACGATAATGCTATTGCATAGTTCATGCTTTTATAGCTGCTGGACTTCTTCATTGCTTGCAGTGCCTCTTGAACAGGGTGAAACTGTGTATGCGGTAAAGTGAAGTCGATCTTGTTGAGAAAATGTACAAGATGACGATTCACACCTTGAATGCGATCGGAATCCGTGTAGGTCTTTATGCTAGTACAACGCTCTCTCCACTTTACCTCGGGCATGTAAATGTCAGCCATTACCAATCCACACTGAGAACAAACTCTATGACCAGCATGCTCAACTTGTTCTTCACGATGATAACACACTTCTTCACTTTCCTCTATCTCCTTCTTCTTCTTCTTCTTCTTTTCCTCCAGCGCACATTGCTTCTTTGAACGTACATAAGCATACAGGATCTCAAATTCAGAATCCATTTTCACTACACCACAACAACTTGAAACTGACTGGATCATCATTCAAGAACACACCTTTTATACTTACATAATCATGACACCATATTACCTTATTGTTTAGGGTAGAGCATAACACCCCAATACATATTTTCAATAATACCCCCTTTTTTTTTTTTTTGAGGTAGGGGCACCCCCTGGCACATATTTTTATCCGCAAAAAAACCGGGCCAAAAATAATTTTCACCGCAAAAATGGGGTACTATTAGTACCCCATTTTTCAATAATACCCCATTTTTTGGGACCAGGGCGCCCCCTGGCACAGAACCCGCTCGTCCCTTCCTACTCACACACACACATACACACACACACACACAATGCACTTACCCGGCTAACAAGTATATCATACTCAGGGAACACTCCAAGGTCCCTGCAACAAGACTTCAAAGCACTGAAGCGACTCTTTTCGATAGCTATGTCCTTTTCCATACCAGGGTTTGGTTCAATAAGAGATGCAGCTTCAGCAAGACACTGCCCGTCGACAAATAGCCCCCAGTCTTGAATAAGGAGATCAGACGGCTTAACTGGTGTCTAGAGGAAAAGGTGCAAACACATATGCACGCACACACACACACACGCACACACACACACACGCACACACACACACACAAACACACATACACACACACACACACACACACACACACACACACACACACACACACATGTACACATGCCCGGACAGACGCACAAGTACACGTACACACAAAATTAACCAAAGACACAGGAAATTGCACGCAGCACAGTACTCTTTCACTTTTGGTGACAGTTGTGGATATTTTTCATCAGAATATATTTAAAAAGAATTTTGTTCATTTTGGTTGATTATATTTTCAGAATTCTCTGTCTCTCATAATATGGAGAGAGAGAGAGAGAGAGAGAGAGAGAGAGAGAGAGAGAGAGAGAGAGAGAGAGAGAGAGAGAGAGAGAGAGAGAGAAAGAGCATTCCGAAATATCATCAACCAAAAATGAACAATGTCAAGAAGAGGTTGTTGTGATGACTACGATACTGGGGGAATTGCGTGTTGCACCCTACATGAAACGAAATGAGAAGCTATCGACGCCTTCTCAGGATTCCGTTCACTGATCACCGGACGAATGTGTCTGTTAGAGAGGAAATAAATAGTATTCACAAACAAGTCCCACTTATTGTTTCTGTTCGTAAAAGGAAATTGCAATTTTTTGGTCATATTGTTCGTTCCGGCTGTTTGTCATTGACTGTTCTTCAGGGCTGTGTTGCTGGAGGTTGTGGCCGAGGCAGACCCGGAATGTCATGGCTTGATAATAATATTTCATGGACTGCACTTGACGTGCAGTCCCTGCTCGCTGCTGCACGCGATGGATTTTTATGGCGGTCGCTTGTTCATACTTGCTCTGTGACGACCTTAGGGCTATGGGCTTGTGATGATTCCCACCTTCCAACCCGGCAAATATTTAGATTTTGATAGAAACGATTCAAAGCCTCTCAATTATTTTGTAATACTTGAAGTATAAATATAAGAATAAGTATAGATTATAGACCGGTTAGGAGGTCTATACAGGATATATAGACCGAGTAAAAGACCGAGGTCCCCCGAGGTCTTTTACGAGGTCGGGGGACCTCGGTCTTTTACTCGGTCTATATATCCTGTATAGACCAACTATGAGGTCTATAATCTATTTATCGTGTTCTCCACGCAATAGTTTCTCTTCATATACGACATATCCTTGTAATTCTAGTATTATACTATAGCCTATACCACACTGTATGGCATTGCAGGATCAAGGTCATTGTTTAAACTAGGTTCAGCATCGGTAGCACAGTGGCTGGGTGGTAAGGAAGAGTGACTGAGATTCACATGGTTGTGGGTTCGAATCCCATCTTGTGTATTTCTGCTTTCTTCTAAAATTTCTTTTTCTAAGTTGGAGAGAAAATTTCTAAGTCCAAGAAATTCTAAGGAGTCAAATATAAGTAGTCAAATATATTGTGTATTTGACTAAGCAGTCAAATACGCGATATATTTGACCGCTTAGGTATCAGGGAAATTAGTGGGGTCAAATACTAAGAAGGCGATAATAATTATCACATGGCACGTGATTGTTGCCCGTACTCCAGCGAATCAGCACCTTTCGCGCCGCGGGCAATAATATGCGATATTGCCCGCAAAAAAATAGTTTATTTGCCCGCAAAAAAATAGTTTATTCAGTGATCGCGTGACTACGACGACTCTGTAGACTGTACGACTCTACGACGAGTCGCAGTGTAGCATTGAGACGAAGATGGAATTCTTTTTGGAGATGGACATCCCGGCAATGGACATGGCCTCGGACGTCTGCCGTGTGGTGCTTGCAGGGATCATTTGTTCAGTCAGACTCATGTTGGCAGCCTGACCGTCGGTAAGCTTGTGGATAAGATTCAGTTCTGCTCGAAGTGGTACTGTGATCACAAACAATTATTTGAAATAACACAAATTCAACTCAGCGTCGTGCGTTTTCAAATCCTCGCAAAGTCACTGCCTGTGTACGTGTGTGGTCTTCATGTGCCACGCAAAACTCTTACCAGGCTCATCTGTCCTCTGCCTTCACCTTTGCTTGAAGAACAAACACAACAATTCAGGAATGTTTTGCAATGAAAAATACAGCTATCTGGAGCTGAAAAAAAGAAGAAAAATTGTCCTCAGAATTACACACCAGGGAGTCGTCAAATACTTGCACTTGTTGCAGTACTGTATTTGACAACTTCCTGATACACATGTAAACATGAAGAAACTCTTTGTGGTAGCACTCTTAATTTTTCAACTGAAATTATGATTCTGCTGTATTTTATTGTCGTTGCCATGTCTATTGCTATGACGATGCGGTGCCGGCACTTTTTTCTGTCTCCGTCTTTCAGTACTGTATACTCTCTGATGGCCTGTAGCAGACTTTTTGTTAGGGTGTAGGAGAAATATCTTCATTTTTCCTGTTTTGATAATGATAGCACATCAATATACATTGTGGTCATAATGTGTTGGCATTTGGGCTAATTTCAACAGCAGCCCAATGGTCTGCTCTGTGGGCCATGTGATAAATTTGTTATCGCATGGTTGCTGCGGGCCTTATGGCATATTATTGCCCCTCGAGGTTAGCCCTCGGGCCTACGGCCCTCGGGCTAACCTCTCGGGGCAATAATATGCCATAAGGCCCTTGCAACCATGCGATAACATATACTTATAATTACATGTATTTGAAACTCGGGTATTGAGCCAATAATAAAAGTAGAAAGGAAAAGGACATATGGAAACGAGTTAAGAGTAACTCTCCACCACTGTAACTAGATACTATATGTTGGACTCAGTAGAGCGTCCAGCCCCTATATGATGTCCAACCCCTATATAGAGTCCATTGGTCCAAAATCCACTGTACAGAGTCCAAACTTGGAATCAACTGTGAGCTCAAAGTTTAGATGGACATCACTCCCTGTATAGAGTCCAGCCAATTGGCTTCACCCCTATATACTGTATAGCAGGAAATTTTCGGACGGAAATATTTTCGGACAAAGCCGAATTTCGACCTTTCGTACGGATTTTATTTTCGTACAGTGCTACATGCTAAATGCACGTGTTCTCATGCGGTACGCATGTATAGTGTACATAACTTCACAGGAACAAATTTTAGTAAGGAATTAATTTTAGTACAAAAGAGGCAGTGTACGAAATCGTACGAAAATAAATTCCGTCCGAAAATTTCCTGCTATACAGTAGAGTCCATTGGTCCAAAATCAACTGTATGGAGTCCAAACTTTGAAATCAACTATAAGGAGTCTTAATGTGGACAACACTCCCTGTATAAAGTCCATCCAATTAGGCATCCCCTATCCAGAGTTCGAAATTAGACATAGGATCTGCTGTAAGCAGTGAATATTAACCAGAAAACGGCCTCTCCCTTTAATCCTTTACATCATTCACTTCTCAAGATAAAAAATAAGTATTGAGGCGCCACTGCAGCCACTTCATTACATGAAAAACCCTACAAACACCATCCTCAAATCAAGTGGTCTCTTCGCAGACGCTGCAAATTACAGTTTCTCAATCATGTAGTGTTGCCAAATTATTGTGCACGCACACACACACACATGCACACACCCACACAACGCCAAGAAAATACCTAGAAAAAACCAAGAATCGAAAGAGAATAATGGAGAGCCAAGGATTAATTATTTGTTTTCAAATTATTGTGCGCGCGCGCGCGCACACACACACAAACTTATACAACGCCAAGAAAACACCAAGAAAAGAGTAGAGACACAATACACACACAACTCCAACAGCCATGCAAACGTCCACCCATTTACACGTAAAGTCAAGAGAGATAACAAATAATTATACGAAACGAATGCATACGTGGGCGGATGCACGCGCGTTTACATACATGTAGTAGTGTAAGAGAGTAACATAGTGCAGTAGTCAGCATAATACTAGCACATGCTGAGAGTGCAATAGCAAGCTTCACCACTGCTCATGGCCATGCAAGTGTTTAGCAGCACTCAGTTCCGCAAGCTTCTGAAGATCAGCACACCTGCAACAAATAGATAGCACAAGGATACGCTTATTACCGTAATGATGCATGGGAGCACACAACTACCAAGTTCTCAACGAATGTGATGCTCAATGAAAATCCATCCACACAAAGACCTGTGAACAGGTGTTGGTGGGGACAATAATCTATTAGTAATACGAGGAATAAGATCGTTTGTGCACACTCAAGACGCACAGACACACCACCATACATGTAGTGTACACAGCGTTTCACTTCACTGAAAGTACAGTAAAACCTGTGACTAACGACCACCCCTTGGTGCCAGCAAAAGCGGTCTTTAGTAGCAGGTGGTCTTTAGTTAGAGGTTTGCACCATGCGACCATATATGGATCCCAGTATATGATATGCATATCAAAATGCAGCTAGTACAATTCCCCCAGGACTTGCGCAATGCCATTCTTATTTCAGGTCAAACAACACTTGGAGAGAAAGACAGAGAGATGGAGAGAGACAAAAAAGAGAGAGAGAAGTTTACATTTTTTGCAGACATCAAATTCAGCTGCTACATCTGAAGCCAGGAGTCAAACATTCCCTGTGGAAGTTTCGTTTTGCACTGGGCTTCAAATTTGTTTTTCCGATCAATCGTACCGACTATCCTTGTTGTGACTTCTCGATTGTTCGAACGCGATCCTCCAGCATCAGGACCTTGCGGTGCTGCTTTTGTTTCTGGATTCCTTGACGCCATCGTCGATTCATTTGTATGACTGGGGTGACAGAGCCGCTCAGTCTTCGTTTCTCCTCCGAGTAGTAACATCGAGCAGAGAGGGCTTTCGATGCGCTCTCAAAGACTATCATGTTTATTCTTGACAGCGCTTGAAATTCTGACAGGTGTAGTGCAGTTCATGCCGACTCCACCTGGCCTGCGTTCATTTTTTCAGCTGTAGTACCGAAAGATTCCTTTCAGGACCATGGAAAAATCAGCAAAATTTCAAGAAGGAGCTTCGAGCAACATTTGATTTCCTACATCGCGGTCGCTAGTTACGGGTCAAAAATCGTCTTTGGGACAAGAAAAGGCGGTCGCTGGTCGCGTTCAGCAGGTAGTCGCTAGTCACAGTGCATTTTTAATGTGAGACCGTCCGTGCCTGGCCAAGTGATCGGTAGTACCAGGCTGGTCGCTAGTCACGGTGGTCTTTAGTTACAGGTTTTACTGTAAATTGAAATGAGATGATTTAAACAATCTGTATAGCGTTGCAGTCAGTCAGTCTTCCCCAAGATGGAAATGCAATGATTTGTTGTCACGAGGCAGTTTCACTGACACAATGTCATGTGTGTGACATCAAAACGGTTACTTCATGGAATACGAGTACATGTATTAGCTTGAGAAGCTTTTTCTTGTCATCGGCATACAAGAAAATAATCCTCCTACTACTACTAGTACACTGGCACTGCGTTTGTGGATCCCATTGTATTTGACATCATACTAGAGCCTAGTAGAGGAACAGTGTCGTGGAGTTCACATAATTATCACAGGGATAAGAATACATTCCTCATGAAATAAAATAATAATTGATGATACCCGGACGATCGTATGCGATTGATGTAAAGTCCTTGCAGTCCTTGAGGACTATTACGAAGTGGTTGATTACTTTTAGGGCATTCATTCAAGCAACATCAAACAAACGCGATACGATCCTTGAAAATGGAAAAAATTCAAGCATAACGACAGAAAAGCAGACCAATCGAAACGAGTAAAAGCTTCCTTACCTCAGTCATCGTCCTGCCATGTAGTTGGACAGCCTTTTGACACGGTGGTACAGGCAGCTCTTGTCCAGTCAAACAGGGTATCCTTGTGGCGTCGAACGAAAGAGAGTGTCAGTGTATCTGACTCGTCAGATTGGAACTGTGCTGAACTTTTCACGTTCTCCGCTTTCTGCTTTCATCCCTCGCTCTGATGAAACCGTTCAAGCGTTTTATTGGAAGCAATGGCCAGCCAAACAGGGGATCCTTGTGGCGTCGAACGAAAGAGAGTGTCAGTGTACCTGACTCGTCAGATTTGAACTGTGCTGAACTTTTCTCGTTCTGCAATTTCTGCTTTCATCCCGCGCACTGATGAAACGTCTTCAGAGAACCACAAGACGCTTTCCAGATTTGACTTTGAACGTCTTCTTATCCTTCTTGGTTACCTCGAGACAGATTACTGTCAGCAACTGCACAGCAGAACTGGCAGCCATGGCTGAAGTGAAGAAAGGAATGCGCTGCAACGAGGCAAGCAAAACTGAAAAGGTGTTTGTTCTCTTTCGGGCACAACACACAGGACGGCGTGACTGGATAAACTGGACTCCTGGACCGTGAATAGGGGACTTGTAGAAAAGGTGTACTCCTTATAGGGGATTGCGCGGCAGGATGAAGCTGATCAAAACTGAGTGGACTCCTGGACTCTGTATAGTGGATTTTGGACCAATGGACTCTATATAGGGTGCTGGACATCATATAGTGCATGGACTCTATACTGAGTCCTACATATATACAGTCAGAAAGTGCAACAACTAGGCACAAAACTGACAGAGTACTGAGACATTCGACGTCCTGACACCTAGCTTCAACACATTTCCGTAGCGCTAACCGACAGCCTTCCAACTTGGAAGGTTCAAGGTTATGGAAAGACCAAAGAAGGGAAGGCAAGCGCAACGAAAACGAGCACAAGCTACAGTCCCAACGGAACAAAGAATGTCGATTGTCACTGGACGATGACGAGACCAGTAGGCGATTTGACAAAGCGGTCTAACTACAATTCGAAGCAGCAAAGCAGCACACCACCCAACTTGGGTGGGTCAAAAATATCAAAGATAAGTTAAGAAGGGGGAGGAAGCTTTGCGAGAACGAATTGTACAAGCCGAAATCTAAACTCCTACAGTACTCCTCATGCATGACATTGTGATGGACTAGTTGACTACAAAACCAGTTGTTTCACACGACGTACGTTTCGCCGTATGGTTCGTGACGGCTCATCAGGTGTGCAATTTGAAACTCGGGTATTGAGCCAATAATAAAAGTAGAAAGGAAAAGGACATATGGAAACGAGTTAAGAGTAACTCTCCACCACTGTAACTAGATACTATATACACGAATGTCTCAGTACTCTGTCAGTTTTGTGCCTAGTTGTTGCACTTTCTGACTGTATATAGTATCTAGTTACAGTGGTGGAGAGTTACTCTTAACTCGTTTCCATATGTCCTTTTCCTTTCTACAATTACATGTATGATATACTTTCACACAAAACAAGCTCGGTGCAGCACTAATCACGGCAAGGGAACCCGACCCTCCACCATCGCCAACTCACGAAGCATGTGAACTGGATAGTGACGGGCCGACCGAGCACCCCTGACACACAACACAGCGGAACGTAGCAGCGCGAAAGACACCCGACAGCGATAGTAACCCATCAACGACGAAGATGATGATGATGATGATGAGGATGATGATGATCGGCATTCCATTCGCATGCGAGGCTGGTGTGCACGCGGCTCAAGAGCTGTTCCAACAGGATGACGTTGAGGGTGTCCTGTTTGTGGATGCTAGCAATGCGTTTAATTCACTGAACAGGAAGGCGGCTCTGCATAATGTACCGCGTGTGTGCCCTGCTATGTCCAAGATCTTCAGCAACACCTATGGCAGCCCGATCCGCCTCTTTGTCTCGGGAGGTGGTGAGATTCTGTCCCGTGAAGGGACCTGCCAGGGGGATCCGTTGGCCATGGCTATTTACGCTCTTGCGACAGTCCCGTTGATCAGGCAACTTCGGGATACCAACGTATCAGTAAAGCAGGGATGGTATGCAGATGACGATTCAGCCTGGGGTAGGATACCATCACTATGGTCATATTGGAACGATATCAGTCAAATTGGTCCAGGCTATGGGTATTTCCCGAATCCCAAGAAAACCGTTCTCCTTGTAAAGCCTCAGTATGAACAGGATGCTCGGCTACAGTTCCAGGGCTCTGGCGTTGTCATCACAACTGATGGTAACCGATATCTTGGAGGCGTGATTGGCAGCGAGGATTTTTGTTCTTCCTTTATGGAGCGGCGTGTCCAGAAGTGGGGACGGGTATTGGATACATTGTCTTCAATGGCAACCACACAGCCACAGGCAGCCTATAGCGTATTAACTAAAGGTTTGTCGAGCTCCTGGACCTATCACATTCGTTGTTCGCCATGTTCTCCAGAGCTCCTGACGGCGATCGACACCGTGATTGATGAACGTCTGCTTCCGGCCCTACTTGGCGATGGTGTCCGTCCTGGTAGTCCTGAGAGAGAGAGCTGTTGACATTCCCCGTCCGGTATGGTGGCCTTGCCATTCCCGTTCTGGCGGCTAGTGCACCTGCTGAATTTATTGCGTCAAGGGCAGTGACCAAGCCTCTGGTACAGCTGCTGCTGACCGGCGATTACACAAGCCCTCCTGATGTTTCCTGTGTGCCACAGATGGAAGCCCAGGAGAAAATCGCACAGCCTGATGGAAATATTGGTGTGCTGGCAAATCCGGATCAATTAATCTTGACACATGATCCGGTTCGTGATGCAGTGGGCGATGCACGGCACATTGCAAGGACTGGGTACCTAGCGTCGAGCGATAGAAACGCCGCATGTTGAACTCGCCCTTGCACACGAATCAAACCTTGGCTGTCGATCATTGGCAGCAAACTCGACAGCTTACTCGAACTCGGAAGAGGTTTGCTCCGTTCCAACAGTACGTACTCAGTGAATGACTGTCGCTGGGCTGAACGAATGACACATTGTCGAGCTGCCTCAAGCTCCTCTTGAGTCGTTGCACCCAGCTGGCGTTCCTCCGCACGAATCTGGCAGTTGTTGACGAACCTCACCACCAACGCTGTGATGCGGATAAGGCGTTGCCAGGACGAGAAACGCGTCGGATTGAGTCTCCAGTCGCTGTCTTTCAGGAATATGAAGAACGAGTCGCCGCCGGTGAGCTGAAGAGCTGCTGACCGAATCTCCATAATAGCAGCTGCCGGCCTGACGGACGTAGGTTGACTAGGCCACTCTTCTGACGATTTGCTCAGAAACTCTGGTCCGTCCCACCACAGGCTGCTAGACACTAAGGACTCCGCAGACGTTCCTCGCGATATCAGATCGGCTGGATTAACGGCAGTCGGCACATAGCGCCACTGGGACGGCTCGGTTTGCTGCTGGATCTCACTCACTCGATTAGCGACGTATGGCTTGAACAAGCGGCTGTGGTTGCGAACCCAGCACAGCACATTCATACTGTCCGTCCACAGTACCACCTGCTCGCGAGGAATAGAGAGAACCTTAGCAATCGACATTCCGAGTCGACACGCCATAGCAGCTGCAGATAACTCCAGTCGAGGAATACTCACACTGCCGAGTGGGGCCACTTTGCCTTTAGACCATACCAGACGGCTGGACACTTCTCCACGTTGATCAGTAACCCGCAGGTAGGCCACCGCTCCGTACGCCACTTGAGATGCATCGCCAAAAACATGCAGCTCCGTGCTGGTGACAGCCTCTGCCTTCTGCAGCACAAGACACCGAGGCACCTCCATCGCTTCTAGGGCTGCCAGACCACTGTACCATTGCTGAGCCCTTAGCTGGAGGTCTTCTGCCAGATGCTCATCCCAGTCAGTTCCGGCGACCCACATGTCCTGGAACAGCACCCTTGCCGACATGATGAATGGGGTGACGAGTCCAAGTGGGTCGAATAGCGTAGCCATGTTGCGCAGGAACTGCCGCTTCGTGACACAGGCTGCCGATGGCGGAGGTTTACACTTGAACGTGAAGGCATCGTCGTCTGCTCGCCACAGGACGCCTAGGGTCTTGGTCGTCGGCAGGGTCCCACTGGACAGGTCGACTTGCTTCGCTCGATCCTCGGCAGGAATCACGGCTAGTAGCTTGCTGCTGTTGGAGACCCACTTACGCGCGTGCATTCCAGCAAGTTTCCACAATTTGGACAATTGGTAGTACAGCTCCACCGCTTGATCTTTATCTTCTACCGAGTCCATGGAGTCGTCCATGTACGTGGATTCGAGAATCGTCTCGGCCGCCATCGGGTACTCGACAGCATGTTGACGGGCGTGCTCCTGCGAGACAAACTGCGCCAGGAAAGGAGACGCATTCACTCCAAATACCACACGATTGTACTGGTACACGCTGGGCTCCTTGTCGGTGTTCAAGTCTCGCCACAGAAACCGATGGTATGGCTTATCTTCCGGCCGCAGCTCGATCTGCAAGTATATCTCAGCGACATCGGCGACGAGGGCGACAGCCTTGCGACGGAATCGCAGCAGAATCTGCTGAAGGCTTCGCTGGAGCTTTGGGCCGGCATGAAGGCAATCATTCAGGCATAGTTCTCCTGCTGTTGCCGAGGCGTCGAACACTACTCTGACCTTTGTTGTCGTCGCGTCAGGCCGGGTGATCGGATGGTGCGGCAGAATCCACCCTTCAGGTCTCCCGTCGATGTTTTCGACCTCGCTGACATAGCCACACTCGAGGTGCCGCTGCAACACCCGCTGGTACTCCTTAGCAACGTCTGGTTCCTTCCTGAGCCGCCGTTCTGTTGAGCGCAATCGCTTCAGCGCCATGTCATAGCTGCTGTTACGCATCGCTGGCTTCCTCTTCCATGGAAGTCCCACGGTATACCTTCCGGTGCCGACTCCAGACAAGGTCGCCCGTGCGCTGCAGATGATTTCGCGATCCTCCGTGGACTGTGTCGCCTCTCGGGGGCTATCCATCTCCCACATCTGTCGGACCAAGCCCTCTAGACTGTCATGGCTGGTTTCCGCGACGAACACGTCACTGCGATGGCAGAACAGCGTGGCTCTGGCCGATTTGTCGACGATCCCGACACAGGTCCATCCGAGAGCTGTTCGGCGAGCTATGGGTTCACCTGGTTCGCCTTGCACTTCTTCCAGGGCCGTATGGAACTCCGCGTGATCGAGACCAATGAGAATGTCGACCACCCTCGGGTCGGCAGGCTTGGGGAACTTGATGTCCTGCAGATGGGTGTATCTGGCGGCTTCAACGTTCCAATCGATCGGCCTCAAGCTGCCGGTCACATTCGTCGTGGTTATGGCGGTCATTGGGGCGATAAACTTTCCGTCGCTACTCTCCAACTGGAAGTCTACCGGCATTGTCTCAAACGACTCGATCTCACCATTCAGTACGCTGACAGACACCCGCTGCGTCTGCCCTTCTACTCCAAGCTGAGCTGCAACCGAGGTATTCACATAGCTCTGAGTGCTGCCGTCATCCAGTAGCGCATTGAGCGCAATCCGGCGGTCCCCGCTCCGTGCCACAACGGAGACGGTTCGGAGCGCTATCTTTCCGCGCACGCCGAGGTTGGTGGTTTGAGCCGCTGATGAGCTCCCCTCCGTGGGAGGTAGCACTGCCAACTGTGTTCGCTCGGTCGCACCGGTAGCCTCGTTGCTCGACACTGCTGCTTTGCTGTCTCCCGCCTTCTCCGTTGGCTGCTTATGCAATCCAATCTGCCAGTTTTCGTGAAGTAGACGATGATGGCTTTTCTGGCAGCCGTCTATGCCACATGTCTGTGCCCTGAAACACTCGCGCCCTGAGTGACCAGAATTCAGGCAACGGAAGCACAGGCCTGTCTCCTTCGCGACCTTCCATCGCTTCGCCGGTGTTGCTGCCTTGAAGGGCATGCATTGCGTGCTGGAATGCGGACCTTTACAATGGGAACACGACCGTGGCTTGTTGTCTGGTGTGCTGACGAATGTGCTCTTCTTCGGACCAGCGAATGGTGTCGACCGTCGTGGTGCGGAAACACTGCTACTCGCACTTGCCTGACTCCTCGCGTTGAGGCCTTCAATGGTTTCTGCTGCCGTGGTCTGGAATTCAGGCTCCAGACTGCACCATTCAAGAAGGACCTCTACGGAGTCTGGCTTGGCTCGGTCGTATCGCCATCGGTGGAATTGGGTGAGGAGCTGCTGGTCGAACTTCTTCAAGAGCTTGCTGTAGAAAGTGCCAGGCTGTAGTTCTGCACTCCACCCAGCATCCTTGAGGTTGATCACTGCTACCGAGAGTAGATCGACAAACTTCTCTAGCTCTTTTGGGCGATTCGCTCTCACTGACTGAATGTGATCCAGTTCTTCGACATGAAGAGCAATGCGGCGCTGTTCGCCTCCGTACTTTCTCTCGAGCATGGCCTTCGCTCCACTGTGCGCTGCTGCGGAATAGCCGAAACGCTCGATTGCCTCCAACGCCTCTCCGCCTAGGTACTGGCGGAGTTGGAGCATTTTGGTCTCCGGTGCTAGCGGTGCGGCATCCACGCATGCAGCAAACGCGGCGTTCCAGGCCTCGTATTTGTGCTTCTTCCCATCGAACACTGGGATGCTGATCTTTTGGAGATGCGTCCACGGTCCAGCCGATGTAGGTGCATTGACAGCACTGCCGGTCGCTGGGTAAAATGGTGGCAGACTCACACTGGCCTGTCCTGTTGACTGGTGGTGCTGTGCTTGGAACTGAGGACGAGGATTACCAGTTGGATAAGCGGATGCCAACTGTCCAGTATTGCGGTTAGTCGTGTTGGTACTGGAAACAGGATACGTTGGTAATGATGAAGGTTGATACCTGGGAGAAGATGGCCTAACTCCAGCAGTGCCCACTCTGGTAGTCTGCGCAGGTCTACTACTACTAGTGTGAGTTGGCATTCCACTCCTGGATCCCCTGCTGGCTGTGGAAGCAAGCACAGGTGCATGATGAGTCAGCTGTGATAGCCCTTGTCCTTGCATGACAGTAGTTGGTTGACTCTGTTGAGTGTGGGGTGCAGGTGGCGCTGTACTCTGTGAGGGCCAAGGGAAAGTCTCAGCGTGATGTGACAGCCCTGCCTGCACTGGTGGTGCTCTAGACCCAGTCATAGCAGCACTTGAAAAGACACCTGATCTCTGCATGGCATTGACAGTCGTCACACTCTGACTGCTGAACAAGGGCGCTTCAGATGTCATAGTCACGCTTGTTTCCACCGCCACAGGTACAGGAGAATAGTTGCAGTCCGTGTCTGCACGCACTGCCGAACTAGGGAACGCTCTGCCAAAACGGTTCACTTTTGATCCTCGCCAAGCGTCCGGGCTGTGGGTGTCTCGTTGTAACACCTGCTGCTCGCCTCCTGGATCAGCGCTCGCCGCTTGCTGTAGCGTTGCTGAACCAAACTCGTCTTCATATGCCTCAAACGCGCTTCCATAGCGCCTGTCCCGCGCTGAAGCAGCGCCACTAATTCTTTCCCGATGCACCGCTTCTCGTGTGACTTCAATCAGCTGGGCCATCGCGTTAGAGAATTGTTCCTCCAACACCTCCATTTCGCTAACCGTCTTCGAACGGTTCTTAGTGTCATTACGACTACTGTAATATCCGAGCAAGTCGCCCATGGTGCTCATTGCCCGGTCGTACGATTCGCTAAGCCGACTTGTCTCCTCCTCAAGCTCGCTACTGTCCATGTCCTTCGTCAGTACTACTAGCGCTCGTCTGCGAAGCTTGGTAAATTCACTCTTCTGCCCTATCTTCATGGCTTTCAGAACTGTGACATCCTGGATGTCGTCTTCGATCTCCACATCTTCCTCCTCGGCGGAGTGGTGGTCTGCGCTATCAACGTCTTCACCCGACCCGGAGTGTAATCTCGTCTCCAGTGGCTCGGACGTCGATCCGCTGCAGCTGGTTTCCACCGTGGTCGTCGCTCCCGCCGCATGCGCGGGATGCTCCGGCAAGTCGCCGCTACTACGAGATCTCTCATGATCAGACACACTCATTGTTGTGCTCTGATACTACTGCACTACCACTACCAGACTCAAAACCATCCTCTGCTACCAGCAAATGGTGAGAACCCTCGGTGGTCTCAACCCGCACGCACAACACGCAACAAGTCTTGCAGTAGTAGTAAACACAAATCTTCACTTCTTCGCCACGAATCTAAAAATGCTACAGCGAGAGCGGAAAACTCACTGCTACACACACTCTTATTCTACAACAACTGAAAGGTTTCGCAAGTAAAGCAAGTGTGAGGTGCACCGAGTGTGAGAAACCGAACGAGCGTGAAATGACTATGTAGTTGATAAATGAAACCCTACACTAGTGATAACCTAAGGCACAGCGTACAGTTCCGCAAAACACAACATATGCAAATGTGCGGATGTATCGAACTACTACTTCACTACCTTGCCAAACCAACAAGCCTAGGCTGCTATTATTCATGAAGTCGCACTAGTGCTACTGATCAGTATGTATGCGAAGTGTATCGGGGAATGCATGGAGGGCGATAGTGCGGTTCTAATCCTAGGTTATGGCTTGAAAAAAAGGAGAAATGAAAAAACATCCCTATGCTTTTTTGCCTAGGTCATCAAGGTGGTAGACTGTGTCGTACTGTAAGACATGTATATATAACGAGGAAGCAAATCTAACGTTTTAACGGATGACATTTCTTCGTTATAATAAGATCCGTTGAGGCCGTACTGCTTCATGTATGCTGTGTGTGGATATGGCAGAATAGTGCAAGATCGTTAACATATCTTCTCGTTAACCTATCAATTTTGGACAATCGTTAAATTTGCGACTCGTTATAATAACATGTCTTACAGTATTACCCTCGAATGCAAAGAGAACGTTTGATGTAGCCAATCAATGGAAAAACAAACATTTCCATCAGTTCTAATAAGTTATAACATGCATGATGAGCTAGGCAAAAAGGCATAGCGGAGGGCCCTGAGCTTCCAAGCTCTCTCATTTTCGGTGCAACTTTAATTTCGGTAGAGAAACCAGGCACCTAAATTTAAATTACACCTAAAAGGCACTAAAGTACGATGCACGGTAAATGAAGGGAAAGCTGGTCACCTAATTCTACATTACACCGGAAACCTGGCAGGTCCCTGGCACCGAAATATTAATGCAGCTAAAGTTATACCTTATACAGTATTGCAGTGGGAGGGCAACATCTGAAAGTGCACTCCTATCTCTCTTATCTGCACCTCCAAATCACGGCCACCCTGGTCTGCCGTGCACACCGTGGGGGGGGGGGGGAGTTTTACTAGAAATATTATTCCTCCTTTTGCCATTTTTTTGCAAAAACAGTGGCACCATACGGTAATTATGCCAGATCTCTGGCCCTTCCGCATTGAAACGTATGTGATTCTGAGTGACTGCTGTTTTCTGATCATCGCTTAACGAGAGAGCTTGGAAGCTCAGGGCCCTGCGCTATGCTTTTATGCTTTTTTGCCTAGCTCATCGTACATGTTATAAGAACTGATGGGAATGTCTTTTTCGTTGATTGGCCACATCACTGTATTGCAAAAACGTTTCAATCGGTTTGCTTATGAGTTAGGCAAAAGTATTTGCAGAATTTATTGCGGATTGTTATTTCTCTAATAATCATCTACTTTTGTTTTGCTCCTTCTTTTCTTTTTATCTCCTTATATTGTAAATCAACAAATTTTGGCCGATGAGAAATAGAAACCTCTCTATTAGAGAGGTTAAGATGCACGTTATTTCCGACGTGACGCGCAGTTTCACGTCAAATTTGAAATCGATCGGTATTTTTGCTCTCACATGCATCCATTGCTCAATCATGCATCATTTGCCTATATGACAAACGTTGGCCTGCGATTTACTTTGGCCGGTTGGTACCAAGCGGCGAAATCAGCGAAATTAAATCGCCAGCGAACATTAGTTGATTTTAATACAGTGATCGGATTTTCTGGCCTTTTTGTAGTAATACATGTGCATTGACCTGTTGAGCCAATGACGACGCCGAATGCATGGTTGCCTGTGGAGCACATCACATAACTTTACAGTCTCCTAAAATACGTATCCTGTCCGACGGCAAAAGAGGCTGCAGATTTAGTTTTTCTGCGCGTCGACGGGATGTCTGCGACGCGAAAGTTTAGCTCGCGTTATTTGGCTCGCACGTCGAAAAATCAACGCGAGTGACCTGCTGCTCACGTCGAAATTTGGACATTACATAAATTTACAGTCTCCTATATAAAAACGTATCCTGTTCGACGGCAAAAGAGGCTGCAGATTTAGTTTTTCTGCGCGTCGACGGGATGTCTGTCCTGACGTTTACTGGGACCGGCGCTGACTCTGCCGATCACGGGCGTTCTGGACTCGACGAGATGTCTGTCCTGACGTTTCCTGGGATCGGCTTAGACTCTGCCGATCACGGGCGTTCTGGACTCAAAGGGATGTCTGTCCTGACGTTGCCTGGTACCGCCGGACTCTACCGATCACGGGCGTTCTGGAGTCGACGGGATCTCTCTTCCGACGTTTCCTGTGACCGGCACTGAATCGATCGTTCACGCTTATTTTGGAGACGACGGGATCTCTCTTCCAAAGTATGTTTATGCTGACGCATCCTATGACCTAATCGGCGTCTATTCTAATTTAATTTCCTCTTCGTCTCCCTATTTTTTTCCAAATCTCCCTCTACATCAGGGAGTCGTATACATAATACGACGAATATTGGTACGGTACGGGACAGATACAGGAGCCCGCAAATATTGTGGACAGCTGTTATGTACAATCCTGTACAGCCTTTGTAGTCACAGATACGGGACAGATACGGGACAGATACGGGATAGCTCCAGCCGTGACACAAACAAACAAACAAACAAACACCAAATTAAAGCTGTGTGGACCCTGGCTAGCGCCAGACGTTACTTAAGTAATGTCTTCTGCATAGCTACGGGAATAATAATAGTTTTCACATCGGAAAATATCTCCATTGCACACCGTACATAACAGGCTCTCAGCTGCATCGAATAGATTTCCTAATGCCAATATTTCGCCCATTGGGCATCTATAATAGTAATAATAATATTCGCGGGATGCGTGAAACTCGAAAACACTTTTTTCGTCCCCTTCTTATTGTTTGATTCAGAGTCACGAACATTTCAAGCAATGGGCAGTGCCCACTCCAAAACTGCACGGATAGGAGAGGTATGGGTGAGAAAGGAAGAAATCAAGTCACTGCAAAGTGGAGAGAGGAAGGGACGGGCAGCGAATCGGTGGAAACAGACTGCACGAAGACGCGGACAAAAACTACAGTGCTGGCCAGAGAAAGCCAACCTCATGAATAAAGTAGCGCTGCGTTCAGTTGCACAGACCAGTGTGTGTAGTGCTAGGGCTGCGTAGCGCCCGGCAACGCTATTTTATTCACCAGGTTGGATTTCTTGGGCCAGCACTGTACATGTACTGGCACTCAGAGAAGTAAATAAATCCGTGATCATAGACGTACGGGTTCTGACGACAAGCGTTTCATTGCCCACTTGCCGTTGAAGGCCTGATTCAGCACATTCATGTATTCCTTGATGGGAACCGAATGCCAGCCTGAAAGCAGAGAAGAGGAGAACAAAAGCAAAGTCCATATACATGAATACGTATGAAAGAGGAATAAAATCAGTTTCAAGAATAGATCCAAGCATGCCTACATGTACAGCTATGAATCATATCAAGAAACAGTAAGTCAGCAGTCAAAGCATGCCTGCCTGCATGGCAATGAAAATTTTAAGGGTGCCATCGAGTAGCAGGGTACCCGTGCTACCCGTAATTAGAGCGGGTATTCGGGTAGCAGTTTGCTCCTGACAACCCGATCGGGTAATTGGAGTATGGTGTTTTCGCAACGGTGCATGTCAACAGCACAACTACATGCTTATTACAGAGGTTCCGGAGTACGATTTTTCGTGTCAAAATCCGTAGAGGCGCTATCGATTTTCTATAACGTCGTTTTCGAGCAGTAAAATGTTCCGGAGTACGGAACATGTGTTTGCGTCATTGCCTAGGTTACGATCGCAAACACGTCATATTCCCAAGCTATGCCTTTTTATTTTGAAACTTTGTACCGAAATCAAAACTTCCCGCGGAAAATCGATGTTTCTCGTACCAAATTTGTATGCGAAAAATCTTTCTGCACTCGATGACGCAAAATCTCCATACGAAACATGGGTCGTATGAAAGCCAGTCTACACGGATTCTCCGTGCCGAAAAATCGTATGAAGCACGCCTGGAAAAAATCCGTAGCGCCCATACGGATTTTGGCACGGAAAATCGTACCCCGGAACCTCTCTACTATACACTTTTTTACGTAGTGCAAGTGCATGCTCACTGTACAAACTTCCGTATTTCCCCGTAAGTAAGTTCTCCCCAATGACTTAGTACCCCCCTATAAAAAAATACACTTTCCACTGCCGAGGTTATCACCCCGAACGACAGTTCCCCCCGAAAGATAGTAAGTTCGTACCCGTCCTACATGTACAGACACCGTACAGTACATACATGTACATCATATGCACGGACACTAGAGTTGCGCAGGCTTCCCACTGCGTGTCATTTACCCCCGATAAAAAAGTACTCCCGAAAGATAGTACCACCCCCGAAAGTTAGTACTCATGTGGCTGCTAAGTTCGAAAGTTAGTACGTACTAACTTACGGGGAAATACGGTATGTCAAAAAAAACCCCGATAGGGTACCCATGCTGCCTGGGTAGAAATACCCAAACTTGTTACCTGGCCAAACCCCTACTCGTTGAAGCCCTAGAAAAATTCTAGCGCAATCGAGCCAGGATTCGGTGACTTTAGCTGGACACCAAAAGGAGGTAGAGGGCAAAAGCATGCCACTAATTCTAGCAACGTAAAATTGAACTTGAACCTGGATCGGGATGAAACAAGTGATGTAACCCCATGTGGCAATGGCACAACAGGACAGGACAGGTATGTGTGTGTGTATGTGTGTGTGTGTGTGTGTGTGTATGTGTGTGTGTGTG